GCTTTGAAAGAACAGCTACAAAGTGACTCAGACTCTTTTTCCAAGGTCATTACTGATGACTAGACATGGTGCTATTCTTACTCCCCTGAAAGCAAATATCAATCAAACTAGTGGAAGATGCCATCATCACCTCACCCCCAAAAAGCTCATCAAGTGAAATCAAAGATCAAGATGATGCTTTTTTTTGATGTGAGGGGGATAGTGCATTTGGAGTTCATTCCACTAGGTTAGACTGTTAATCAAGCTTTCTATTTAGAGGTTCTGAAAAGATTTCATAACAGTGCACGACGTAAAAGGCCTGATTTGTGGCAGACGGGGGACCAGCTTTGCCACCACGACAATGCACCTGCTCACACAGCCATCTCAGTGCTCCAGTTTTTGGCACAAAACAGCATGGCTCTCTTTCCTCATGCACCTTACTCACCTGACCTCATTCCGTGCAACTTCTTTTTGTGCCCACAGAGAGAGAGGGACACAAAAGGATAGCGATTTGATGACATCAAAGAGGTAAAGAAAAAAAATGTGGGAGGTGCTGTCCGCCATCCAAACATATGAGTTTGGAAAATGTTTTCAAGAATGGAATCACAGATTTGACAAATGTATTAAGTGTTATGAAGAGTACTTTGAAGGTGATAAGGTAGTTTTGTAAAAATTTAAATACATAGCTTTGAAAAAAAATTGGGGCTGGGGGGTCCTCCCTTGTATCCTCTCTCCCAGGATTGGTCTTGTCTTGATTATTGACTGTACCCACTTTCTGTTTTCTATTAAATCTCATCTTCTTAGGTAGTCTTTAACTTCATTAAGCTTTAAGTCGGATGCCTAATTTGTTGCCCTGTCTTTCCACTGTTTCCAATGACACTTTCCAAATCTTCTCTTTTTTGTCTCTAATTTTACTACCCTTCTTTCAGCGTGCTCACCTTGTGCCTGGTCATGTATAACACAGTCTTTCTGCGACTTCCTGCTCCCTGTCAATTTCTTCTCTCATGAGTCTGTTTTTCATAGAGCTCCATGGTAAGTGATTGTGACTTACTCTTCCCCCTTCAGAGCCCTGTGAGAATGTCCAACAGGCCCCAACCGTCCTCACTGGACACATTGCCCTTCATGCTCACACCCAGTTGAACGGCTCCTACCATTTGCCAGCCACGTGGTTGTTGCTAGGTGCCTTCCAGTCGGTTCCCACTCACAGTGACCTGGAACTAAAGAGCAAAATCACAATCATAGTCATCTGAATTCCTGCCACGTCAGAGCCCATCGCTGCAGCCCATTGGACTGCTAACTGCAAGTCAGCAATTTAAACTCACCAGCTGCAGCGAGGGAGAAAGGTGAAGCTGTCAATCTGTGTCACTGGGGTCTTCCTCTTTTTTAACCGACTTTCTTTTTTACCATGCACGGTCCTTTTCCAGGGACTAGCCTCTCCTGATGTCCAAGGTCTGAGAGGCGAAGTCTCATCCTCCTCACTTCTAAGGAGCATTTTGACTGTACTTCTTCCAAGACACATGTTTGTTCTTTTGCCAGTTCATGGTATTTTCAGCATTCTGTACCAGCACCATAATTCAAATACGTCTATTCTTCTTAGGTCTTCCTTATTCAACGCCCAGCTCTCACATGCGTGCATATGAGGTGATGGACAATACCATGGCTTAGGGCAGGTGTCCGTTAGTCCTCAAATCAACATCCTTGCTCTTCAACACTTTAAAGAAATATTGAGCTGCAGATTTACCCAATGCAATGCAGCCTTTGATCTCTTGACTGCCTTTTCCATGAGCATCGCTTATGGATCTAAGCAACATGAAATCCTTGACAACTTCAATCTTTTCTCTGGTTTTTTCCCCACAGGTAGTAACTTTGTCTAGGAACGTGAAGGGTACCTAACGCACTACTGTTGAGTCAACTCCTACTCATGGCAACTCTACGAGACTGTAGGAGAGTAGAAAGCCTCCAGGTTTCTGAGGCTGTAAACCTTTTGTTTTAAAGTCATTTTATTGGGGGCTCGTACAATTCTTATCACAATCCATACATCCATCCATTGTGTCAAGC